CTGAGGCTGGGTCAAATATAAAGACAAGAGGATCAATTGGCTCACGGTTCAGCGAGCTGCACAGGAAGCATGGCAGCTTTTGCTTCTGCGGAGCCCTCAGGGAGCTTTTACTCTTGGTGGAAGGCAAAGAAGGATTAGGCATTTCACGTGGCAAAAGCGAGTGAGGAGGCAGGTGCCACACACTTTTAAATGCCCAGATCTTAAGAGCGCTCACTCACTCTGGAAAGGACACAACCATGGCGGAGCATTCTAAACAATTCATGAGAAAACCACCCCCACAATCCAATCACCTCCCACCAGGCCCCAGGTCTCAAACACTGGGGATGACATTTCAACAGGAGATGTGGGCGGGGACACGCATCCAAACTGTATCAACTGCCATCTCGTCTCTGCAGAGAGGCGAGTCTACACTCCATCCTCCATCCCCAAGTGCTGCCCAGAACTCGGGTCTCTGAATCCCGGTGAGGGGCTGAGCCCCTGTCCACACCCTGGAGGCCTGCTTGCCTTTCTGTTCCCATCAGGGATTAAAGGCAAGACCCACTGACTCTCCCGGACGCTGTCCCTGGAATTGACAGTTGGCTTCTTGCAGCTCTCCCCATCCGAGGTGGGCTTTTATTCCTTGCATATATAAAGAGTTTGGGTGACCCATCCCCCTTAGCCACGCCGCACACTCTAGTCCATTCCTGGACTTGCAGTGAGCCAGGCTGTTCTTAGGCCTCACTTACCCTTGGCCCCACAAAGGCCAGAATCTCCGGTCCTGGTTTCCACTGAGCTCCCTGCCATGGGGAGACTGGGCTGCCCATCCCCTTGTGATATGGGGAATGAGACACCAGGGATGCAGGCTTATGTATGAACATTGTAGGCAAGTAGAAAATCGTGTATGTTGTTCAAAATACATAGTTCTAGGTCATACTAAAAATTATGGGAAGGGAAAACAGTAAATTATATTATTTGTTTCAGATGAATGCAGGTGTGAAAAAATGAAAGTGCTAGGAACAGAGTAACTAACAATTGGAGAAAGGGGGAGAGGTAATTAGCTTATACGTGATTACACCATGATTGGGTTAGCCAGGGAGAGTGGCTTCAGAGCTCTTGGGTAGCACAAATGCCAGCAGAGAAGGGACTTTTCCCTCAGTGCTCTCTGCTCCCTTCCTCACGGAAGCTCCACTGTGAAGAGTGGAGTCTGCCAAAGGTCCACTTACCTGAGTGGCTGCTGGAGAGAAGGAAGAAACAGATTGGTCTATTACTATTCTGGGTGTTGGTTTATCCCAACAGGAGAAATAGAAGAGAGAAAGCTCTGTACTGGCTTGTTTTAGATGTGGAGGTAAAGATGACTTAATTGCTTAATAGTATTTCTTAGGACAGAACCTGATTCAAAAACCATTTCAGAAATATTAATGATCAAAAACATGTATTAAAAAAAGACAAAAGAAGAAAAACAAAACTCAAAAAAATTAAAAACAAAATCTTAATGATTATGTAAAGGACAACATTTGCAGGCTGTGCATACTGGCTCATGCCTGTAATCCAAGCACTTTGGAGGCCAAGGTGGGCGGATCAACTGAGGCCGGGAGTTCAAGACCAGCCTGACCAACATGATGAAACCCCATCTTAAAAAAGAAAAAAAAAGGGGTCAACATTTGCAAGTAAAGCTTACCCATCACCCTGAATTGTGTGAGTGCTGGATGAGCAGTTATGGAGACCTGGTGCCTTCAACAAACAAGCTTTTATTTTTATGTATTTATTTATTTAGAGACGGAGTTTTGCTCTTGTTGTCCAGGCAGGAATGCCTTGAGGGGATCTCAGCTCACTGCAACCTCCGCCTCCCGGGTTCAAGCAATTCACCTGCCTCAGCCTCCTGAGTATCTTGGACTATAGCGCAGCGGGGACTACAGGCAGATGCCACCACACCCTGCTAATTTTTTGTATTTTTAGGAGAGATGGGGTTTCACCATGTTGGCCAGGCTGGTCTTGAACCACTGACCTCGTGATCCACCTGCCTTGGCCTCTCAAAGTGCTGGGATTACAGGCATGAGCCACTGCACCTGGCCAGCTGTTAAATAAGAGATTTCTTCACCCATCTTTGATTCCAGTATACTCATTAAACTTTGCTAGGAGCTGGTAAAAATTCAGGGTCCTGAGCCTCTATCCACAGATTAAGGCTGTGAGCGCCCAATCCATAACGGTGGTGTAAAGAATGGTTCTATTTAAATATGTAGTTAAAAATGTTTCTTCACCTCTCAATTTTGATGATTTGGATTTTGAAGAGGAAAGCACACTTTCTTCTAATTTTTCAAGTGTGTTTGCTCCATTTTCTATCCTCCACAGGGAAATAGAATCCCTCAGGCAGAGCCGGGCGCGGTGGCTCACACCTGTAATCCCAGCACTTTGGGAGGCCGAGGCGGGTGGATCACGAGGTCGAGAGATCGAGACCAACCTGGTCAACATGGTGAAACCCCGTATCTACTAAAAATACAAAAAAATTAGCTGGGCATGGTGGCACGTGCCTGTAATCCCAGCTACTCAGGAGGCTGAGGCAGGAGAATTGCCTGAACCCAGGAGGCGGAGGTTGCGGTGAGCCGAGATCGCGCCATTGCACTCCAGCCTGGGTAACAAGAGCGAAACTCCGTCTCAAAAAAAAAAAAAAAAAAAAAAAAAAAAAAAAGAATCCCTCAGGCAGGACCAGCACGGATGGACCCCAACACGCTCTCCACGGAACAGGGGAAGGCGTTCTTAAAGCAGTGTGGGATCCCACAAAGAGATGTGAGTACGGGAGCCGGGGTCACCAGGGAAGCAGGTGGAATGGGGGAGTCCAAGCCTCAGGCAAGGCGGCAGCAGGCTCCCTACCCATGACCCAGTCATATTCAGGGTTCTGCAGCCTCCATACACGGGCACTGACCCATTAAAATCGATATGTAATTCCTCACAAGGACATGGGAAAGGGCCGACCCCCCCAACCCCTTGGTTCCCACCTGGGAACAGCAGCACTTCCCAATAAGCTGGGCTGTCACTCTTGGTGCCATTTGAAGGTCATCAGCAAACTCCTCATGGGCTGCGGAGTAAAGAAGTGAGATTCCCTTTGCATCCTCATAGCTTAGCTCCCACATGAGTGAGAACATACGGTGTTTGGTTTCCCATTCCTGAGTTACTTCCCTTAGAATAATAGTCTCCAATCACATCCAGGTTGTTGCAAAGCCCATTAATTTATTTCTTTTTATGGCTGAGTAGGATTCCATTATGTGTGTGTGTGTGAGTGTGTGTGTGTGTATGTGTATGTGTGTGTGTACACATATATACACACACATATATATCTCCATTGCGTATGTGTGTATATATATATTCCATTCTCTCTGTGTGTGTCTATATATATATATATATATGTATGTATCAATCACATCACAGTGCCTTTATCCAGGTGTTGATTAATGGGCATTTGGGCTGATTCCATATTTTTGCAATTGTGAATTGTGCTGCTGTAAACATGCGTGTGCAAGTGTGTTTCTTAGAAGCTACAGGTCTGTGGGTGACACTCTAGACACCCGGTCCTCTTTGCTCAAGGAAATGAAACACGGTGATTGAAATGTAAGGAAATTGGCCTGAGGTGGAAAGGAAAACTCAAAACACCAGTAAGATGTGTCATAGTTCAAAGAATTGTATTAACATGGAAATAAATTAAAGAATTTTACTTTTAATAAGAAAAATTCCAGGGCTAGGATACATTGTTATAAGTGAAATTCATTTACAAACTTGAATTTAGTCTATATTGACTTGAGGTATGATAATAATAGTAAGATATAACTTATCATGTGCCGTTCAGTACATGCTTTGCATGACTTATGGAATCTGCTGAATAATTCCAACATTGAGAATACTGGTAACTCAACTTTATACATGTGCTATACGAGACACCCTTTCTATCACAATGGAAACCAGTGCCTTCATAGTTTCATAAAATAAATGGAGTATTTCCCTTTTTGGATATCCAGGAAAAATGCATAAGGTACAAAGCACGGTTTCTTAAATGTTTGAATTCACTGATTAAAAAACACAATCGTCTGGGCACGGTGGGCTCGCACCTGTAATCCCAGCACTTTGGGAGGCTGAGGTGGGCAGATCACTGGAAGTCAGAGTTCGACACCAGCCTGGCCAACATGTCAAAACCCCCGTCTCTACTAAAAATACAAAATTAGCCAGGTGTGGTGGCACACTTCTGTAATCCCAGCTACTCAGGAGGCTGAGGCAGGAGAATTGCTTGAACCCAGGAGTTTGCAGTGAGCCAGGATTGTGCCACTGCACTCCAGCCTGGGTGACAGGGTAAGACCCTGTCTTAAAATTAAAAAAAAAAAATATCCTCCAAGAAAAAAAAGATCCTTATTTTTCCAAGGCTAAGAGTTTCTCACTGTAGCTCTCCTTAACAATAACAAATTTTAGATTCAGGAGATATTGACCTTTTACATAACCATTGAAGGACTCAAAATTCAGGGGTTGGCTCCCTCCCTCAGATGAATTTCAAAGGTTTCTATTGATACTAGTGGTGAATTACTGTTTTCTTTCATTTTTATTATTATTGAAACAGTTTCACTCTGTCTCCAGGCTGGAGTGCAGTGGAGCGATCTCAGCTCACTGCAATCTCCGCCTCCAGGTTCCAGTGATTCCCTTGCCTCAGCCTCCAGAGTAGCTGGGATTCCAGGTGTGCACCCCCATTCCCAGCTAACTTGGAATACTGTTTTCTTATGTTGACCCAGTTTCTCATATAATGATATGTAACTGAAAAAGTAATTTATAGAACACTTTCATAAGCCCCATATTAAATACAAGAAAATGTACATAATGTAAGTAGGCAGGGTTCATTGATCCCCAATAGTATCTGGGGTCTGCATTTGCCCCGGCACTGCAGCAGTGACCCCACACAGGGCTGTCTCCTGCCTCTTCCCTTCTCAGCCTTTCAGCCACTCCCAAGTCACACGGGCTTGAGGCCAGGTCTTCCTGTCTTGGAGGTGTCAGTCACTGTCACTGTCCTCAGAGGAGGAACTGACCTGAAGGTCCTCATAGAGGACACTCCTCGAGACCGGGGGAGCCCGCCCCTCAGGCTCCCTTGAGAAGTGAGGGCTCTGACCAGAAGTCCAGTCCTGAGGAGGACGGGATGTGGGGGGTGTTCCGAGCCTGGACCTCTCCTGTCCCTGGCCCTCTCTCATGAAGGTGACACTGCCAGGCCTCCCTGGAACAGGAATGGGAGGTCCAGGCTGGAGGACGGGGCAGCCCTGGGCTGGGCCCAGGAAAGGTGAGCTGGCTTCGGGGGACTGGAGGTGGACTCTGGGGGGCGCAGTTTCTGTCTTAATGGCTGCTGTCTTTGTGGTGGCCTTGGGTGCCTGTTTGGGTCCAAGTCCAGTTGCCATGGGGGGACGCTGGGGAGGCTGCACAGTGCCCACATCAGGGAGCTGAGTTCTCGATGCCGGGGTCGGGAAGGAGCTTGCTTTCTTTGCGGGGTTCTGGGAAGTCTGGATGGGGGCCCGGACACCCTTCTTGCCTGCTACCTGGGTTCTGGATTCTTGGCCACACTCTTTTCTGACCTGCTGTGGTCTGGGTTTTGCATTTGCATCGGGCCTGACTTCTGCCTGGGATTTAAGGTCAGGATCCAGGGCAAACGCCTTCATGGCAGGCTGGAGATCATGGTGGGAGGACACTTCAGGCCTGTTGGCTGGTGGCCTGGCGCTGAGAGTGGAGACCTGGTGGGAGCTCTTCAGAGCAGGGAGCTGGAAGGCAGTAATATCCCCGCCATGTCCTTTGGTGGGTCCACAGCTGCTCAATTCTGGTTGTTTGCTGTGACTGGAAGGGCAGAGTAATCTCGTCCCGGGTGTCTTGACGGGAGGCGGTGGACCCGTGGGCCCAGGACTCTGGACACGTCTCTTCTTGGCGATGTGCACCGGCAGTGGCATGGTAGGGTGCTGCAGGAGAAAGCACCCCACATGAGACAGTTCAGCAGGAGAATCACCAAACCCCATGAAACAGGGAGCTCACGTGTGCAGCCACATCCCGGCAGAAACTGTGTGAAAACCAGAAGCCACCTAGGACAGAGGAAAATGGATGGGCTGATAACAGAAACAGAGGAGAATAACATGCATTGGGATTGCTTCTAGGTCTGGAAGAAATACAGGGAAGACGCTACCTAAGGAGACAGGACAGATGAAATTAAACGTCACAGAAAAGGATGTACACGTGCTCACTGAGTATGTGCAGAATTCTCCCTTCAGGAATCCTGTGGGGGAAAGGAAGCCCACCATTAAGCTTGCTGTGACCATGGGATTTGAAAACTATAACTGTCTGTATGTTGTCTGTTGTTGATATCAAGGGACTATCAATTCCCCACACAACGTGGAGACTGGAAATGGCAGAGCTCCTTTTGAAAGCAGATATAAGAACATGTATAGGCCGGGCATGGTGGCTCATGCCTGTAATCCTAGCACTTTGGGAGGCCGAGGTGGGCGGATCACTTGAGGCCAGGAGTTCAAGACCAGCCTGGCCATCATGGTGAAACCCCATCTTAAAAAACAAACAAACAAACAAAAAGAACATGTATCAAAGTGAAGGAGATGCCTTCTCTGCAACCATAGCCCTAAGGCACCTGATCCATCACTCCACACAGGCACTGAAATGTGCCCAGCAGCATCTGCTGGCCAACCTGCAAATAAAGGCACAGAAACCAATGCTCAAATCAAGAAGCTGGAAACTGGAGTGTGTGAAGTAGTCACCGCAGTTCTCCTGCAGGGCAGCCTAGGTCTCAGCATAATCCCCACCCACGAGGGGCACAGAAGTGAAGGAACCAGGGGACCCGGAAAAGGAGCAGAGCAGGGGTCGGGGGAGACTCACCCTCAGGTACCAACAGGCTTCCTCTGGCTCCTCCCAGGCTTTCTGGGCTTTCTTTCGGGGCGTCCTGGAAAGTGTCTGTGTGGGAGATTTGCTCTGCAGCTGCTGCTGGGGCCTGCAGAAGAAATCACCTTCACTGTCTGGACCCACCTGACCCTCCTGTCCACACCCATGACTGGGAGCCAAACGTCCCCCGAGAGCGCAGTCCCAGCCCTTGCTTTGGGTGAGGGAGGCATTCAGACCTCTGTGAAATTTGCCGAGACGGCCCCGTCTCTCATCTGAGAAGCGGCCCCGCTTCAGGAAGCCCCCTTCCTGCCACGGCCCAGCCCCCTCTAAGTTCACCCAGACCCTGGTGCTGCTCTGCCTGCCACGGGCATCATCCCCAGGTCTCCCACAGCCCTGCCCTCTAGAGACTCGGCGCTAGAATGAGCTGGGACTGTGGGCCCTGGGAGGCAGGGGCCCCCAGCCACCGCCGTGGGCGGCTGTCCTGTCTGTGCCTAGAGAAGGCTGCGCACAGCCGGGAGACGCCATCTCCTCAGGCTCTGACATCACGTGTCCTCCTTGACCCTGCAGCATCCTCACCTAGACTGTTGCTCCTTTTCTCTGTCATCCCTCAGAAAGGAGCCTGGAGCCTGGGGTAGCTGAGGCTTTGCTGGCTTCAGGCTCTTCTCCTGTTTGTGTGGGTCCAGGGGCTGCAGAGCAAGGGCTCCACTCCACCTCTTGATGGGGCAGGTCGTGCTCCTGGCTGAGTGTCCAAAGGCCCCACAGTTCTTGCATTTCACCTGCACGTGGAGGGGGATGGCGGTCAGTGAGTCAGTCAACAGCCATCACAGGCACCTTCCAAGGTTAATAGAAGGCCTGGGTTTTGGAGGTGGATTATTTTGGGAGAGAGACATGCCCATGGGCTGTTGCCTGCCAGGAAATTCCTGGCAGCCAACAGAGCTGCAGAGCCCATTTAACAGAGGGATCCTCCCCAGGGCCCATTTAACAGAGGGATCCCAGGAGGAAGGATGAGGGTGAAGAAAAGGAACCAGTGTTTGAGGGTGTGGCAAACACCAGGCTGGACGTGACACTGGACAGAGAATGCGCCAGTCTGCCAGCAGAGGAGAGCACAGAGCGCTCAGCCTGAGACCAGTGGGAACACCTGAGTCATAACCACGGGTCCCACGTTCAAGCCCACCCTCGGATCCATGCAGACACCTTGGTTTTCCATATTTTCAAACCCCCACTGACCCTGGATTTCTCCTCGTCTGCTGGGGGAGTCCTGGGCCGCACGGGTTTCCTCTGCTGCTTCTGTGGGTTCTTGGCCGTGGGAGGCCTCTGAGCCTGAGGACGGATGGAATCAACTGCCATCTGCGGCAGGTCCTTGAGTTTTTGATCAGTCTTCTTCATTAGTTGGTTGTTGGGTTTCCTAGTCATAAGAAAATGACAAAACATTACACAGACACCAGAGGAAAGTCCCTCCTACCCAAGTAGGGATGCAGGGACGCACTGGTCACTGGGTCACACCCACGGAACTTGGTCCTCTCTGAACCCAGGTCCCTGCTGTGTTATTTTGGGATTCTCTCCCTGACCTACTCCCAGAACAGGACACAGATTTTATAAACCAAAGGCCACTCGAGGTTTAGAGGGTGAAGTGAGACTTGCAGCCGTGAATGAAGGTTTCCCGGGCTCTGAGTTCATGTGCAGTCAGTGCCTCAGAGCTGAAACTCTCTACCGTATGTATCAAGGCCAACAGAGGAACAGCCAACAACCACTGATCGTTTTCCAGGTATTTCCAGAAAACCCACTATTTTATAGAATAGCTTCTCACTCGGAAAACCAACCAGAAGCTCAAAGCTTTGCAAAGCTTTCATAGTCAACCTATGGGCACTTGTGACATTTCACATGAGACCCCTGTGACCACACACCGCTTTTCCCACGGAGGCAGACACAAAGCCTAGCGAGGACCAGCCCTCTGAGGATGCCTGTGACGCTGACCTGTATGTGCAGGTTCAGGCCAGGCATCGCGCACATCACAGCCCATGTCATGGGGGCGGGGGGACACACAGAACAGAAGCCCCCAGGCCTGTTCAGGTGGAAACCTTGAGCCCACCCTGTGTGTAGGGAGTCCCCCAGGCCACCCCACCTTATTCCCTAGAACTTGTCTTACCTCTCCTCTCGGGATCCACATCTTTGTGGAACTGTGGATGGGCGGTCCACGGAAGGCTGGCATCTTGTACTGGAGACACAGCGGGCGGTTGGATCCTCTCCTGGCTTCAGAGGAAATCGCAGAAGGACTTCCACAGAGGCGAGCACAACCCATTTCTCTGTCATCAAGTCAATCTAATGCAGAGAAAGGAGAACAGAGACGCAGCTTGGGTTCTGCGGGCAGGATGAAGCCTCAGCACGGGAAAGGACGGACTCCTGACTTTCTGAGGGGTTTAAAGGTCATGCTGGACAGTCTCACATTTCTTTTTTCTTTTCTTTTTTTTTTTTCTAAGAAGTCATATGAAAAAGGTACTTGCTGGGCACGGTGGCTCACGCCTGTAATCCCAGCACTTTGGGAGGCTGAGGTGGGTACATCACTAGGTCAGGAGTTTGAGACCAGCCTGGCCAACATGGTGAAACCCCCGTCTGTACTATAAATACAAAAATTAGCTGGGCATGGTGGCACATGCCTATAGCCCCAGCTACTTGGGAGGCTGAAGCAGGAGAATTGCTTGAGCCCGGGAGACAGAGTTTGCAGTGAGCCAAGATTGTAGCACTGCCCTCCAGCCTGGGCAACGGGGCAAGATTTTGTCTCAGAAAAAAGAAAGAAGGAAAGATACTTGCGTACGTATGTTTACAGCAGCACAATTTGCAATTGCAAAAATATGGAACCAGCCCAAATGCCCATCAATCAATGGGTGGATAAAAACATTGTGGTACATATACATGTGTGTATATCTATACACAATGGAATACTACTCAGCCATCAAGAGAAATAAATTAATGGGCTTTGCAGCAACCTGGATAGGACTGGAGACTATTATTCTAAGGGAAGTAACTCAGGAATGGGAAACCAAACACCGTATGTTCTCACTCATGTGGGAGCTAAGCTATGAGGATGCAAAGGGAATCTCACTTCTTTACTCCGCAGCCCATGAGGAGTTTGCTGATGACCTTCAAATGGCAACAAGAGTGACAGCCCAGCATATTGGGAAGTGCTGCTGTTCCCAGGTGGGAACCAAGGGGTGGGGGGGTCGGCCCTTTCTCATGTCCTTGTGAGGAATTATGTATGAATTTTAATGGGTCAGTGCCCGTGTATGGAGGCTGCAGAACCCTGAATATGACTGGATCATGGGTGGGGAGCCTGCTGCAGCCTTGCCTGAGGCTTGGACTCCCCCATTCCACCTGCTTCCCTGGTGACCCCGGCTCCCGTACTCACATCTCTTTGTGGGATCCCACACCGCTTTAAGAACGCCTTCCCCTGTTCCATGGAGAGCGTGTTGGGGTCCATCAGTGCTGGTCCTGCCTGAGGGATTCTGTTTCCCTGTGGAAGACAGAAAATGGAGCAAACACACTTGTAAACTTAGAAGAAAGTGTGCTTTCCTCTTCAAAATCCAAATCACCAAAATTGAGGGAAAAAACCTTTTAACTACATCTTTAAGTAAAAACATTCTTTACACCACCGTTATAGACTGGGCGGTCACACCCTGTCTTGCTTGGCTTAATCTATGGCTACAGGTTCAGGGGCCTGAATTTTTACCAGCTCCTAGGAAAGGTCAGTGAGTATACTGGAATAAAAGATAAGTGAAGCAATCCCTTATTTAAAAGCGCTCCATCAAAGGCACCAGGTCTCTGAAACTGCTCATCCAGTACCCATGCAATTCAGGGTGCTGGGTAAGCATTCCTTGCAAATGTTGACCTTTATATAATCATTAAGATTTTTTAAATTTTTTTTTTCTTTTGCTTTTTGTCTTATATATTTTTTTTCTTTTTCTTTTTCTTTTTTTTTTTGAGACGGAGCTTCGCTCTTGTTACCCAGGCTGGAGTGCAATGGCGCGATCTCGGCTCACCGCAACCTCCGCCTCCTGGGCTCAGGCAATTCTCCTGCCTCAGCCTCCTGAGTAGCTGGGATTACAGGCACGCGCCACCATGCCCAGCTAGTTTTTTTGTATTTTTAGTAGAGACGGGGTTTCACTATGTTGACCAGGATGGTCTCGATCTCTTGACCTCGTGATCCACCCGCCTCGGCCTCCCAAAGTGCTGGGATTACAGGCTTGAGCCACTGCGCCCGGCCATATATATTTTTTCTATCATTAATGTTTCTGAAATGTTTTTTTGAATCAGGCTCTATCCTAAGATATACCATCAAGCAATTAAGTCATCTTTACCTCCACATCTAAAACAAGCCAGTACAGAGCTTTCTCTCTTCTATTTCTCCTGTTGGGATAAACCAACACCCAAAATAGTAATAGGCCAACTCGTTGTCTTCCTTCTCTCCAGCAGCCCCTCCGGTAAGTGGACCTTTGGCAGAATCCACTCTTCACAGTGGAGCTTCCGTGAGGAAGGGAGCAGAGAGCACTGAGGGAAAGGTCCCTTCTCTGCTGGCATTTATACTACCCCAGAGCCCTGAAGCCACTCCCACTGGCTAACCTAATTGTGGTGTAATCACATATAATCTAATTACCTCTCCCTCTTTCTCCATTGTTGAGTTATTCTGTTTTTGTTTTTTTTTTAAAGATGGGGTTTTACCATGACGGCCAGGCTGGTCTTCAACTCCTGACGTCAGGTGATCCACCCACCTCAGCCTCCCAAAGTGTTAGGATTACAGGCGTGAGCCACCGCGCCCGGCTTCGTTATTCTGTTCTTGGCACTTTCATTTTTTCACACCTCTGTTCATCTGAAACAAATAATATAATTTGCTGTTTGCCCTTCCCATAATTTTCAGTATAACGTAAAACTATGTATTTTGAACAACATACACGATTTTCTGCCTGTCTACAATGTTCATGCATAAGCCTGCATCCCTGGTGTCTCATTCCCCATATCTCAAGGGGATGGGCAGCCCAGTCTCCCCATGGCAGGGAGCTCAGTGGAAACCAGGACCGGAGATTCTGGCCTTTGTGGGGCCAAGGGTAAGTGAGGCCTAAGAACAGCCTGGCTCACTGCAAGTCCAGGAATGGACTAGAGTGTGTGGTGTGGCTAAGGGGGATGGGTCACCCAAACTCTTTATATATGCAAGGAATAAAAGCCCACCTCGGATGGGGAGAGCTGCAAGAAGCCAACTGTCAATTCCAGGGACAGTGTCTGGGAGAGTCAGTGGATTTTGCTTTTTTTTTTTTTTTTTTTTGAGACGGAGTTTCACTCTTGTTACCCAGGCTGGAGTGCAATGGCGCGATCTCGACTCACCGCAATCTCCGCCTCCTGGGTTCAGGCAATTCTCCTGCCTCAGCCTCCTGAGTAGCTGGGATTACAGGCACGTGCCACCATGCCCAGCTAATTTTTTGTATTTTTAGCAGAGACGGGGTTTCACCATGTTGACCAGGATGGTCTCGATCTCTCGACCTCGTGATCCACCCGCCTCAGCCTCCCAAAGTGCTGGGATTACAGGCTTGAGCCACCGCGCCCGGCTGGATTTTGCTTTTAATCCCTGATGGGAACAGAAAGGCAAGCAGGCCTCCAGGGTGTGGACAGGGGCTCAGCCCCTCACCGGGATTCAGAGACCCGAGTTCTGGGCAGCACTTGGGGATGGAGGATGGAGTGTAGACTCGCCTCTCTGCAGAGACGAGATGGCAGTTGATACAGTTTGGATGCGTGTCCCCGCCCACATCTCCTGTTGAAATGTCATCCCCAGTGTTTGAGACCTGGGGCCTGGTGGGAGGTGATTGGATCGTGGGGGTGGTTTTCTCATGAATTGTTTAGAATGCTCCGCCATGGTTGTGTCCTTTCCAGAGTGAGTGAGAGCTCTTAAGATCTGGGCATTTAAAAGTGTGTGGCACCTGCCTCCTCACTCGCTTTTGCCACGTGAAATGCCTAATCCTTCTTTGCCTTCCACCATGAGTAAAAGCTCCCTGAGGGCTCCGCAGAAGCAAAAGCTGCCATGTTTTCTGTGCAGCTCGCTGAACCGTGAGCCAATTGATCCTCTTGTCTTTCTATTTGACCCAGCCTCAGGTATTTCTTTATAGCAATGCAAGAACAGCTTGACACTGGAGTGTTCCCAAGAATTCTTACAGAGGAATATCAGGGTGTGGGGTCCATCTGTCCTGTTCAGGTGGGTTTCTCACCCACAGTCTTCCTAAACCTCTCCTTTGGCAAAGAACAGTCGCCCTTTCTGCATTTCAAGGTCCTTCTGCCTGTGGGTGCAGTGGTGGCATGGGGAAGAGAAT